ACTGGAAATACAATGAATGTGGCTGTGATTGGACTATGAATAATACTATCACATCCACACTCAATCTCAAGAGTTAATTTTTTTTTATCTGTTATTTGTAAAGTCTTTCAACTAATACAAAAAAAGAAAAAAAATGTCATTTAGAAGATTTCAGTCTATCAACTGCTTAACTTGTTCATTTGCACATCAGTTTCTGATAGAACACATGATTAATCGCTGCGAAGAAAAAAAATCACGTTTGAATAATTGATATTTGTGGAACAACTCTGTTTCTGCATTTTCGAAAACAATATACGATAATTTTAACTAATATTGGTACGAGAATTTTTGAAACTCTTGTCAATCCACCAATTATACCAATTAATGTGGTGATAACATAAAGTATATTATTTCTTGTTATAATAGTATAAGTACATTCTATAGGTTGACATTCATCATAATATCGATCATATATTTGCGTTGGATTCCACTCTTCAATCATTAAATTATTAAGAAGATTTTCAATTGTTGAATCTTGAGAATATTGACTTGGTAAAGATGAATCAAGAGCTGTTACATACATTGGCGAAACAGATGTTAAATAAATTTGTAAGTTATCTATACAGGTTTGATTATAAAAGCATTCGAGAGTAGATCGAAGCAATGCTTCAGTCGTATAACATCCCACATAGAAACCTGTTACATTGAAAACTCTGTAATTATAAGGGCCATTAAAAAGGGAAGAATTATCGATACATGTGTTTGATAAAGCACAAATGCAGTTGTCGTAAACTCGACTAGTTGTGTATAAAATAGAAGTTTTGTTTACTTTGTTTAGCTGGTAGTTTGTTTTCCTTCCAGAAAGTAAAACATTCCCTTGAATGGCCTTTCTGATCATATTGAGAGATAATAAAAAATTATTTGTTGTTGATAATTTAAACTGATCAATAAATGATTGAGCTTGATACTGAAATAATTCTGATGGTGTTACGAAGGCAGTGATATATTGAGTTGAATTAAATTGAATCAGACTATTATTAATTGTACTTTCGATTAATTCACAAAATGCACGTAAAGCTTCAAACTGATACGGACCTGACAGTCGAAAGTCGTCCGTAACATAATAAGTTGGATGATATGCTTTAGTAATATATGAAGTCCAGTTGCTGGTGATAAAAAAACTAGTGCATACTTGGTGAAATGTATATTCAATAGAAAGAAATTTTTCATAGTTGATCGATATATGTTTACATGGACATATAAGAGTTTGTGAATATTTAGAATATAATTGCTCATATCTTGTGAGAGTGGGTGTTGCGATATTGACAGTCAATGTAACATTTTCTAATGAAGTGTATAAAAGAAGAATTGTTGATAATAAGATTAGCAATAAAATATATAATCTTGTTGATATTCGTTGAGTTTGAAGTTTATACTCGTCCGTTGAAGGTGGCACAGATGGAAATAAATTAAACTTGAACAACAAGTTTGTGCATTTTCGCCACAATATCATAGCACGTTCCTTTTTATTCATCACTTAAAAAAATAGATAAAATAGTTATTAAGTTTAATTCATAAAATTTAATTTGTTCGCCCGTATAGATATTAAAACAAAAAGATCTTCGGAAACTGTTTGATATCTACACCTCAATATAACAATGTTTTTCTGATTACTCATAATTATCTGGGAGTATGAGTGAGGGTGGGTGTGTCGAATCTACTTTTACATCCTCACCCACACCGCACTCTCAAGATGCTTTGTTCGACTATGACTTACCGATGAGTGGTTGTGTTAATTCTTTCTTCTTTCTCACAAACTTGACCACTTGTGG